TTTGGGCATCCAACCCTTAGACCCTAGATTCTTGAGTTTATTCCAAAATCCGTATGTCCCAAGGCAGTAATACTGTCAACTGAATCAGAAAACAGCCGTGGTGGTTGTCTTTTTCTTTCGCTTCACTTAAATCTCTCTGCGTTTATGTGTTGGAGATTCATGAACGTGATTAAAAAAACCACCAAGCACAGCTGTGTGACTGTGCCAGATCGCTGGGATGTGCTTTTGGAGCATGATACACCTACGTGTGGAGCCGGGAAAGACAGCATGGTCCTCTTTCTTATTTTAATGTTTCTGAATCTGAAGCTGGCTGCTGATGGAGCTGCTTCTCTGGTGCAAACTAAGGATCCGAAACGGTGGAACCTCTTGGCTCCATACACACCTTCCGTGTTGGAGAAAACAGCGGCATTGGGAGCTGTCACAGAGCTTAGCGACGTCCTCACGTTGCGTCGTGCTGGGGTGATGCTCTCAGTTCCAATCAAATGAACTATAGCACCTGATTTATTTTAATTGTGCATTATAGTATAGTCACAATTGTATGTACGAACTGTATGGCAGATGCAGTGCAGATAATACTGTTCCAGTAATCGAGAAAGTCATAGATTTAAAATTTAATTTGTATCTCAAATTCCTGTGACATAGCGCATAGTGGGCGGAAGTGTGCAAGATCTAAATTTACTTCTTGGAAAACGAGAAATGAGTGAAAATTTATTATTATCTTGCAAGGCAGAACAGATACTCCACTGATACTCACTGAGCTCTCGGGGGCACAATTGCAATTAATTTTGGAATATTAGGTCAGTTAGGCCATTTGGATCTGGGAGTAGATGGGGGGTGGTGTTCAATATCTTTTTCTTTGTAGTTCAAGTGTAAGCAGTCTAAGATAAACTGGGCAGAGGTGTGTGTTTTGGGTGCAGTTAGGGTTCGGTTGCAACCTCTATATGGAGTGTACTTCTAGGAACGAAGCTGTGGAATGTCAATATGGAATTAAAACGTGGTTGGCACATGCAGCCAGATCTGGGAAGCTCTGCCTGTCTTGAAGGTCGGAACAGTTTTCCAATTGCCACAGCATGTTACTAGGAGAAACAGCTGTGAAAGAATTTGTGAAAAGAATTGAAATGTGTGGTCAGCAAATCATGAATATTCTTTTCCTTTTAATGAGAGGTGGGAAGAAACGATGAAAAGTTGCAGTTTGCTATTACCTGCCATCTCTATAAAACCCTCCCCAAAAAATCAAGAACCCCAAAGAAACACAAACCCCCCACACTGTAGAAGAAAAGCATGTAGGCGTAAAGACAGATCTACAAATTTATATCAAAATTTAATTTTTCACTTACTAATACTTTCAGGAAAAACAGAAGATCCAAGAACAATGTAATCTTGGGGCAAAAGTCGTTTCTCTTTCCAATTCAAATGGTCTTTCACAATTTGGTAAAAGCTACCAGAAGAGAATGCTCGGTACAGCCGGTGCAGGCGCTGCTGTGGGCATACACAATCCGAGAGAAGGCTCTGAGTACTGAGTCCTCAGTGAGAACTGAAAGTAAAGGAGCCTGTACTGTTGACCAAAACTTTCTCATCCCCTAAAAAAGTAGCACCCAAGTTGTGTGAAGCATAAGATTTGAAGATGGTTAATGAAGAGCGTGGGAATGTAAGAGCAGCTCTCGGCTCCGCTGTGCTGTCATGGCAGGGTTTCCCCTTTTACATTGTGACTGCTACTTTATCACCCCCCCCTTTTCTTTTTTTTTCCAAAATTCACCAATGACGAGATGGACTATAAGATAGTCAGCGGTTCTCTCTACTCTTGCTCGCAGTAAATAAGTTGTCTGTCAGCTATGCACAAGGAAGCTGTTCCCTGCTGCTTCTTAATTAGCATATGGCAGGAGAACATACCGTGGAGCTACTCTAGGGGAAGAAATGCTAATAAAAATTATTTTCCTGGAAACTTTGCTTTCAGAAAGGAGAAACGTTTGCAGAACTCCCTTGTTTTATGGGAGGGCAGTTCTTCTGCATAGAGGCAGGTCATAAAATAAAGGAGGGAGGAAAGGGAGAGTCGGAAGATGGTCAGGAAAAGGGTCCAAAAGATGTATATGTTTGTGTTCTTCTGTGGTGTTGTGAGAGAGGAAGAGATTAAAAAGTTAGGAAATAAATGAATGTCAAAATGAGAATAAACAAGTGATCAAAAATGTACAGAGATGAAATTGAAAATGTACGAGGAAACTGAAGTTGTTGAACAGATGATATAAAGAAGCATAATTAGTTTTTTGGAGGATAAAGGAGTATCAGAAGAGACCTGTTAGCCTAATCTGTAATATGTTAGGATGAAAGCTGACAACTAGCTTCAGTAAGTTTCATTGCCAACCTAGAGAAAAGTACTAAAAACCTTTGTGGGATGAAGAAATTGAGTAGCTGAATCAAGTTGTGTGGCTTCTTTCATGCTGCCCACACCTGCTTTGTTATATCGATATTTCTGAGTGTCTGTAGAAGTGAATGTAGGTCCCTAGTATAGGCACAGTATGCCAGTGGTATTCCTTGTTGAGCACTCACCTGTCTACTACCACTTCAATTTTATTTTCTGCTCACCTTCTATTATTGGGAAACATGTCACTCCTGGAGCCATAGGCAAGGAACAAGCCGTATCTGCGTTCTTTTCTTTTCTGTTCTGAACTAATGCACAAGAATGATGCCATAATGTTGCTTTGTGAATCAAGATTTGCAAGAAAAGAATGAAATTGATTGTATATGAAGTGCTGTCAAATTCATGAACAACACTCTTCTCTTCCCTTTCCTTCTCCCAGAAATAATGATAAAAGGAAGTGAAGAATACAAAAAAAAAACCAAAACCCAACCAAACCCAGGAGACAATAAGTTTTTAATATTAGCGTTTTCTTTTTCACATTTAATTTTTATAATGGAAAAAGTTAGAATTTTAACCTGTGAACTGGAAATATATTTCCCTTCCCCTCTCTCTCCCCTCTGTGCCAACAGGAGAAAAATGCATTATGGCTCATTTAAGGTCCTCCCTCTTTTTCTTCTTAAAGATTATGGAGATGGCAGATGGGAAACAATTAGCCAGGAGCTAAATTAAAGAGATGCATACGAAGTAGCTTTAGATATTGTGGCTTGAACTGTGTATTCTCTTCTCTTTTGTTGCTAAATATTTTTTTCATCAGTGACTTCTGACTTCTCACCAGTTCCAGCAGAATGAACTAAGCTTATGATTGAGTCTGACTGTAGAGCTGGGGAAGGATTTACTCTTGGTTGCAAACAGGCAAAAGCAAGGTTCCCTTCCCACTGTTACTCCCCAGGAGTCTTCCCCCCCCCACCCCCATTCAAGAAATGCGTGGGAAAGTAGGTCCAAGGAACGGTTAAGACTCTGCCCTGAGTTTCAGGCCCAGTCTCATTCCTATCAAACAAGGTTTAGATAGGGGCGCCCCTCGGACAAAACTGATAGACTTGGAAGTAGTACTAATGTAGAGGAGAAGCTTTCTTTCCCCTGTGATGACTCTTCCCCTTTCAGGAAGTGGGTAGTGATTTCTCCATAATTCTCATGAACTGGGAGCACTGGAGTAGCAGCAGGAAGAGCTGGTCCAGGTTGATGGTAGCTACTGGGATTGTGGTGATATGGGGACCCATCCCCTACAATTGGTTGTTGTGGGTATTAATAAGTAGCTGAGATAACTAAACGGAGTCTTTGGCATCTTTCAACATATTGTGTGGTCAAGGCAGTGGGAGGGAAGCAATTCTTTGGCCCAGTGGGACTGCGAGGGAGGAGGGAGAGAGCGCACTAGTACCCGTTTCTGGACGTGGTGTTGACAGAGATTGACAGTGTTTGAGGATTTTTCAGGAAATGGTTTTGTCACAGTAGTTCTTTAGTTGCTTTCAGTAGATTTTGAAAGGTTGTACGGTATCACAGGTTAATTTTACTTCAGCGTTTTGTTGCTGTTTTTGGCTTTGTGACAAGATTCTGTTAATCCGCTTCTGCCTTTCTATTTTGTGCGTTGTGGAGTGTGCAAATCTTGCCACCTATTGCTCTGCCTCTCTTTTTACCTTTGGTTGTAGAAAAAGCTTTCAGGAAAATAATTTACGTAGATAGAAAGTAACTGCCAGGTAAGTTTTGTGCAGGATGCAGAATAATTATTTTCATTTACTCCTTGAAATTACGCAAATAGTAGGTATCAGATAAGTGTAATGTGTGAGGCTGCAGAAAATCTTTCAAAGTAATACGGCTCTAGCCGTGTTTTAGCGAAAACTAAAATCATGGGGGAGGAGAACAAAATAAAAATAAAAAGGGGGCCCATCCCTTTGAAATCCAGCGTAGAGAGGTTCATTGATGGAATTGAGCATTGGGGTGGCAGATACACACACCAGGATTACTGCATCCAGGTGAGGGGTAGGGAGGAGCTGGACTCTTCATGTTCCCAGGAGCGGGTAAACCTGCTTTGATCAAGTCTTGAACTAAAACTTCTCCTGACTGTTCCTGTTCAGCAGCGTGTAGGTGTTGAACAACAGTCTTCCCCAGTGGCTGCTTGTTGCCATAAGGTGGGAAGGAACTTGCAGTTCTCTAGAATTTCTGCATTATTTCAGCCTTGCAGGGGTTTGGTAGTGATCAGTTGACTGTCATCCAATTCCGAATATCGCTAACAAAGCTTGTAATGCGGTCTCCCACTATTTGGAGAGACACAAAGCAGGTAGTTGCAGCATTTTTTACTTATTTTTTTAAAAGATAAAGATGAAATTATTGTACCAGAATCACTACAAAACTCTGGAGAAAACACCATATACTTTCCTTACAGAGTGATGAAAAGTTAGATGGTGATGCTGGCTGCAACATCTTACCAGAAGAGACCAGAAACAGAATGAAACCTTCTAGTTGTACTCAGTAGTGTTAGTAAATTCATTAGTGATAGAATGGGAGAGGAAACTTCTCTTCACATCCAAAAGCTGGGGCTCTGGGGTTAAATTTGTCTCATTCTTAGAGAGTTGAACATTGAAATGTTTTGTTAACTAGTTCAAGTAAGTTGACTCATGTTGTTTACATAGTTTAAAACCACGTAATTTTAACCAATTTTTAAATCATAATTAGATTTATTTTTGAAACTAAAGATGTCTAAACTAGAAATCATTCTTTGAAATGGAGAAAAACAATCTAAAAAGCCCATCAAAATAGTTGGAAGCAGAAACATTGAAAGTTCTGTTCGATATTGATGAGTGGGTTTCCACAGACAAAAACACTACTTAAAAACTGCTCACCCATTTTATTACGGATAGAAACACAACTCTGGTAAGTCTTTTCCAGTGCAGTGGTCTATAAGAGGATGCCAAGATTTGCAGTAGTCCCCATTCTGTTTAAAAAAGTGAATATGTCAGTTAAAGAGGTAAGTTATTTAAATAGCTGTGCATTTCAGAAATGCAGTTACTGTTGAAACAGTAAAAAAGGCAAAAAGAGAATTTGCCAGAAAGCGTGAGAGTTTTTAATAGGAAATCTGTAATAATCTTATCAGTATTTGCTTAAAGGTGGAGTTGGCACGGTATGAAAATGTCACACAGTTTGAAGAGCAGCAGAATCCCACAGCTGCTTGTATTACAGGCTGTATAGAACAGGAAACCATAAACCATATTCATGCCATACTAAAATAGTTGGAAACCTCCTGCAGCAACGTAGTTGGAAATGTTTGAATAAAATGTTACATTAAGATGATAATAAATAGAAAAGCAAGGAAAAGTACAACAAAACCTTGATGTGTGAGCAATCAAATATTTACCTTCTAGAAATGCTAAAATTCAGTATTTTTTAAAAATTAAAAATGTTAAATAGGTGCCAATCTGAGGGTCACACTAAAATACAGATTGTAAAATGAGAGAGATAATGAACCTTCAGATTTTTAAAAGGAATTATCCACTTCCTCTGTTAAAGTGAGAGCTACAGTATAGCCTAGACATATGTGTAAGATGGGAAAATATTTCTTCATGCAAATAGTATAATCCTCTTAATTCATAATTTAAGAATGCCTATTAAGAGGAGGAGGCGGTGGCTGTATACGTTGGGGGATATACTGTATAACTGTACGCTCAGCTGTAATTCAGTCTGTGACTGAAATATGGGAAATACTAATTTTTGCGTAGGTAGTTGTGGTTTGAAATTTATGTACTATGAGCAATAGTATGTGAACGTACTAATTAGTAATTCCATACCCATTTTGAGTAAAAGAGCAAAAAACACGATGCTGCGCTTGACTGTGCTATGAGTGATGTTAGTTAAACTACAGAGAGAGATAATATGGAAATAAAACTTCTAAGTCTAGCTGTGTGGAAAGGAATAAGATACTCATTTATTTCTTCCCCCAAATCAATTAGTTCTTAGTACCCACACAGTAATTATTAAGATAGCCATTGTTCGAGAGCTGCGAAGCGAGATGTTAATCTGAAACAAAGAGTTTAAATAGAGAATTATGATATCCTTGGCTTTCCCTGGCGTAGCTGCCAGGCTCGGGCGGTTGGCTGGTCAATAGTGACATTCCGTGTGTCAGTGAGCAGAGTCTCCTGATACCTTAACCTGCAGTTCACACGTTACTGAAGCTCCAACTGTCGAACATTCAAGTCCCTTGGTACCACTGCAGCTTCCAGACTCTCCTGACTGGCTCATGTTTCATTCTTTGGCAATTTGCCCTAATGATATCCCTCAGGAGCTTTCAGACCCTCTTCTTTTCCATATTTAATCGTGTTATATTAATCTGAGTGCTGAGCAAACTATGCTGCACAAATTGTAATTGTCCGGCATTTCTGCTGCAGTGGGCTTATAACTGCCTTTTTTATTTTCTTCTTTTTCCATTTGTAGTCTAAAAATACACGAACAAAATCACAGCATAATTTTTATTTACAAGCCTGAATGTCCAAGACTGGCTGTGTGAAAGCTTTAGCTGCTGTTCTGTTCCATAAAGAGGTTGTTTTTTCCTTATAAAATCCATACTGTTTTAACACTTTTTTAATGGACGGGATTCACATTTTATTTTTAGCTCTTTGTTTTGTTACTGTTGAAGTACATGTCTAATAAGCGCTATTATCGAGTTAACCTCAGATAGTATTGTTGTTGTGATGCAAAGCGTTAGGACAGCCTTGCCTTTTTCCATCAGCTTTGCACTTCTATGTGGGGCACAAATTGGTGGGTTTGGGGTATTTTTTGTTTGCTTGAGTTTTTTTGTTTGGTTTTTTTTTAAGAGATTTGTAGTATTTTATGTGCTGCATGTAGGCAAGACTATTTTAAACACAATCTTGTTGTTTTCTCATTCTTTCATAACTCTGTGCATAATAAAATAAATACATTTGAGTGGCTCCCGGATAATGAAGTGGTGTTGGATAGGTGAAATTTGAATTCTTTGCTCATTGCATGTTATTTTGTTCACTTGGGGAGTGGACTTTCTTATGTTTTTAATCAATTCCCTACATGATTGTTGTTTCAGGGAGGAGTGGTGGTTTGCTTTTACAGTGGTTTTTCTTGTTTATTCACTTGCTTGTTTTGGCAAAACAGGGACTGGTAAGCAGATCTTAACACCTCCTTTCGTGGCCAAGCAGCCCTTCATTTTCTGGTGATGCTAGTGCCAGACTTGCCAATATCCCTGCTCAGGGAAGGGAGTTTTGGAATATTCTAATAAAGTTGCTTTGCTGTCAGAGGGGAGTGGTCACCTGAGATTTATTTTTTTCAAAGGTAGTTCGGAAATCAAGATGGTGACACTGGCCTTCTTGCAAATGTTCTACTTGTATGTGTATGTCAGATTTGTTCGTAGACGCATTTAAGAAATTAAAAACAGTTAAAAAATGTTATAATAGTTTTTATGGGCATGTTAAGATTCTTGCATGTTTAGAGGTTAGTTTAAGATTTTATGTTTCCTTTTCATTGATGTTTTTTTGTTGCCAATTCTGTGTGTGTGTTTATTTTTAGTTAACTGCCTGTGTTCATGCGTCGGCTGCATTGTTATATCCAATGTACTGGCAACACATTTACATCCCAGTGCTTCCTCCACATCTTCTGGACTACTGCTGGTAAGACAGCCAACCTGTTATCCCCACTTCTGAGATTCCTACCTGTCTTGTAATTCTAACTAACTGATGTAAACACTTATTTATGTGACAAAACATACAGAATCCAGTTTATGAAAGCACTTAAGCCAGTGCTTAACTGGTGACTTGAGTAGAGGTATTTCAGCAGTGCCTTTTCCTGGTGGTTGAGTCTGTACTTTGAGTTACTGATTACTGTTGATGCAGCACTTGGAATCACATTTGTGATTGTGTTCCTGCCTTATTGTTAGAGAATTCATTCAATAATTTAAATGTGATTGTGTTACGGCTTTCTTTTACTTGGCATTTATTTTAACTTGAGAGATATGGTACCAATAGAAGCATTCAGAAAAAAGCTGATGATGTTTTCTAGAATCAAATGTTAGTAGGCATCGATGTTTCCCTTAGGTCTATGCAGTTATTTAATATTTATATTTTAGACTAACCCAAGTTCGGGATCCTATCCATTGCCTTCCCAAAAAGAGCTTTAAATCTCCTGTCTGTACTTCCAAAATTTCTGTTGTTAGAATTCTGCTTCTCCTGACGTTATTGTTCACGTGACAGACTTGGTGGTTTTGGCAAATTTTTTAAGTTGAACACGGAAGAACCACTTTGAGTCACTTTTGATTCTTCAAGGGATGACATTTCCCCAGGTCTGTTTCAAGATTTCAGAGAGATCTCCTTTCTTTTATTTGTTGTAGTGCCAGAGATACCGAAGGAGAGTTTCCATTACAGCACCTAAACCAGGAGTATCCATCCCTGACTTTCACTTTAAGTAGACTCTATGGACCTGTAGTGGGAAAACAAACCATTTAATGCAATTTTAGAGATCAGAAATTATATATTATTATATGTAAAAACTGAGTCCAAGTCAGATGCCTACCAACATAAATGTCTGTTTCTGTTATAAATGTTTTTCTTGCCAGAATCAAATTATGCTTGTACATTTGCTGGGCTTTGTTTTTTTTTTTTTTTCCTGGAACCTATAAATATTGATGATCCACTGAACTCCACCCAGGCTATTGAGCTTCTTGTTTTCAAAGAAATTCTCTTTATGTTTCCTTAAGTCTCTTTGATAGTTTTTCCTCAAGTTTACAATATTTGCCCATGATGTTTCTTTTTCTGTGGTAATTCCTATACTTCATATGTATATTATTTATTGTTTTTGAAAAGAAATCAAATATTCTTCTCCCACTCCTCCCTTTACTTTCAACTATATCTAAGCCTTTCATCTTTAATGATAGTTTTCTTTTGAAGAAACTCTGTCCTAATTGTTTTTCCTCCTGGCTTTGATAAAATGCACTGAGATGGGGGTAGAGCTGGGATATATTTGTTTAGTTTTTCTATTCCTTGAGTTTACTGCCAGAAGCTTTGTAATTCCTTTGGTGTCATCCATAAATGCTGTTCTCAGAAGGTAGATCAACACCTTTATTCAAACTGTACCATGCAGAGTGCATCCTGAATACTAGGAGACCTTTTTATTTCCCTTCCTGAGCACAGATGATGTTTCCACAACTAGTTAGATGCTGCACACAGCTTCTTGTGAGGATGGTAATAGTTGAGATTCCAGGGAATTATGGTGTCACACAAGAATTTTTTTTCATTCATTAAAAAGAAGCATGGAGTTTCTTAAACTTGTAAAACTCATTTATGTCCCTTTTTCGCAATAGCATGCTGGGGGAGAGGGTGCAAAAAAAGTTTCCTTTTCTTAGAAATGTTCAAATGAAAATATAATGTTCATGAAAGGAAATACACAATTGAATAATTTACCACAGCAACTCTAATTCAGAATTTTTTACTCAGATTTTTGTGCATTTATATATCTCTGTCTGATCATGTCTGTTTTGAATGGTTCTTTTGTGAGACAGATTGCAATAGTGTAATAAAAACATATATTTGCTTTCTTCATATTTTGGCATATTAACAGTAAATAAATGTTTTCCCCATAGGATGGTAATACATCAAGTTAAGAAGCTGGTGAATTTGTAAGGCCAGATCCAGTGTGCAGTCCAAGAGGATTATATAAATTTAAAATTGATAAATTATTTTTCTAATTTTTGTATTTTCATTTTTTCCTATAATTTTTGATAGAGCAGTTTGGTTTACAAAACTGCCTTTTCCTTCTAGCTTAGCATGAGGTTTCACACCTAGAAACTACATTGCCTTTGCTTCACTTGGACTTCATTATAACATCTCCCACAGTCTTGTGTTGGTCTGAAATGGTACAAATAAAGGAAATAGGGGATTATTGGTTTGATAATTTTGCTCGTTCTGAGGGAGTAAGGCCATTTTTAAACACGGATAAAATACATACATATAGATATATATGTATATATAAAAAAGACTATTGTCCTAGTTTTAGCTAAACCAGTGGCCAGCCCACCCCTAACTCACGAAAAATCTATATTTTCAAAGTGTTGTGTTTTTTTCCCCACGTAACTTGTCTCAGCGTTGAATTCCATTTTGAGAACTCCAATGTGAGAACTGGAACAACCATCCAGAATAGGAGAGGGAATACATTTCCTTTTCTAAACACAGCAAAATATTAGGCAGTGAGAGTAATTTTTGTTTCAGCTCTAGAGGAAGAAAACACAGCAGAGTTGCTAAAAATTTGAGATTTCTAATATTTTTTAAGAATTGATTTCTATGTTTATGTAAGCCAAAAGATACTGTTGCACTCAGTAGGTGGCTGGCTTTCAAGAAAGTTTGAGGATTGATGTAGTAATTATATTTGAATAATTTTATTATTTTTTTTTGTAAAGGAGAAAGCTAATTTAATCTATTTAATTTCTTGGCAAACTAAGTTATTGATAAAAGAATGTATGACAGTTTTGTCTGTGTATGATAAAGCATCTGTTCTCCTGATGCTCTGCTAAGAATATAATGCAATTAAAAAATTCAAGTTACAGTTGCAACGTCTTTTTATGAGATTTGGTCTCTTCTGAATTGGGATGTACACACGCCTGTTTTCGTGAGAATAGGACAATTATTTTCCAATTAACTTGCACGTTTTGCATAACATAGTAATTATTTTAGGCAACGATGCTGCAGATTAATAACATTCTGGTAATAACATGCAGAAACAAGAGAAAAACTCTATAGCAGCTCCCAGCTGTGTCCTAGTAAGCAATTTAATGTACGTATTACAGATCCAGCAGTAATAAAGTTCATTCATTGCTGAAAATGATCACATTGCCTTTCTATACCTGCGATTTTTATTTCATGCATTTTCAAGATGTTTGCCTAATTAGCTGTGCACCTTTATTCTGTTAACTTCTCCAAATTGAAATGATGTGACTGTCGCTTTGTTCTATGGAAGAGAGCCACACGCTACCCTTCTTAATGACAGATTTATTAAGGGAGCAAATCATCAGCTATTTTAAGTCAGTACAGGACCAGCGAAGCTGCTCGTGGAACGGTGTCGACGAACAAGAAAACAAGCGTGCATAAAACGCGTGCGTGAGGTAGCTCTCGTTCTCACTGAATTTTCTCTAGTTCATGTTACTTCTGCTGCTGAGGTGCTCTGATGTGATGAACCTGCGGGTCCCTTTTGCCATGTATTCAGCCAGAAGAATCCTCATGCACGTCAGTCACAGTCACTCTCATTGACTTGGTTAAATATGTGATGCCCTATAAAGTGTTCTTAAAATCAGAGGGTTTTGAAGGTGATCTGAACATAAATTGATTGATTCCTATCTGAAGATAAACATGTGTCTGCTCTGGAGTGATGCCCGTTTACGATTTCATGTATTTGGTGATTAGTCTGTAAAGGCATAAGGTCTTAGCCTGGATGAAGTTGTCAGCAGGTACTAAAATTTTTCTATATCGGGCTAAGAAAAAGATCTGTGGGGACGCAGGGTCTCTGTTTTCCTTTTTGGAAGCACCGTTGTGTAGAAACCTTAAGTCATGACAGTTCTGCATCGATCCTCTCCTGTGGGACATTGTTAATGAGAGCTGTTGGCTAATCCGTAACCTGTGCAGATTTTTCTAAAATGGACTGCAGTCGCAGGCAGGTGAGAGTTGCTACTTTTTCTCTCGGAGATGGGACCAAATTGATGAGGCCACATGAACGGATGCAGCGAAGCCTTTCCCTGGGCCTTGGGAAGTTAATCGCCAGTCAGTTGGTGCCAGTGGTTCAGATTTGTGATCCACTTATGCAGTAGGAGAAATTCTATTATATAAATTATATTTATATTATATAGCCTCAGATATCTGTGTAACTTCATGGACGTCATTTTACAAAGGGTAATCTCGCGATACGCCGAACTGTGATGATAATCGGATGGTTTTTTTCCCTTCGATGCTTGATCGGATGTTGCCAGAACCCATTCACTAGAGGAAGAAACAGAAGATTATAGGAAACTGTAATAAATTAGGCTGATTAATTCAGTTTCTTGCTTGCATACTGCAGGAGGTATCACTCCAGAGGTTTTGTGTGGATGCTTGTTTTATTTTGAGAATATAGTTCCTTATCTCACTCAAATTGGACATGGGAAGTTTCCTCTTTTGAGTTTAATTAGGATGTTATACAGCTTCCAAATGCCCGCCAAGGAAGGGATTCAGAAGCACATTCAGAATCAAAACTGGCAGTAACGATGCAGTGTGGCGATGTTAACCAGTACACTTCTGGAGAATGGTGTTTTAAAACCATTGTACTTTAGAGACAGACCACTTTTGGAACATGCGCTAAGTTAGCGCTGCCACACGGTGTGGTTGTTGCAACTGGGCACGGCAAGCCTAGGTTGTACATCTCGCTCATCCTTCCGTGGATACGAACGGCGTCCTTTTCTCTTTGTCCCCGCTGCAAAGAAAAAACCCAACAAAATAAAATCTCCCTTGTCCAGTAGAAATTCCAGTAGCAACTGTGTGCATTTAAAACACATTCAGTAGTGAATGCTAACCAGGGACTGTATGTACTAAGATTTTAAGTATCTTTTTTCTCCACAAGTGTTGTGGTAGTTGGTACTTAAAACTTGATCTTATCCTTTTGTTTTTCTGCAGTGCACCGATGCCTTACCTTATTGGCGTCCACTTAAGTCTAATAGAGGTGAGTTTACTGTACACTTCTGCCTACTGCTAAGCATAAGGGCTGTGTGCCGTAAGTGATAATTTCAATGGAAGTGCCTCAGAAAGAATCCTTGGTTTTTAGCATGTAGATTTATGAGATTTAGGCTTTAGCTGCGTTACAAAATGGATTAATAAAAAGAGCCTCTCTTTCTGAAATCTTACGTAGACAAGTAAGCTATGCCTCATGATTTGTTTCTCTGTCTATTTAATAGCTCAATGATAGCTTTTTTTCCCCCTGCCTTTTTTAGTGGTTCAACAATGGATTTTGCAATAATAAGCACAGTAAAAATTTATTTTGGTGTCTCCCTCAGTCAGTCTTAAAATTTATGTTCCTGTCCCTCTGAAAATATGAGTCCAACATTCATCCCCGTAACATTCATAACTATTAATTTAGAAACGAGTATTTTTTGCCAAGAAAAAAAAAAGGATATCCTTTTCAGATTTGAACATACAAGAAAACAATAGGAGTTACCTGTGTGGTCAGTAATAGCTGGGTCATAAATAACTTTGCCTCTTGCTACAACCATTGGATGACACCATTAAGCCTGGCGTGTGGTCTGGTTGTTATGCAGAGTAGATACTTGATTTGGGAACTTCATTTCATTTCCCCTGCTGCTAAAGCAGTTTCTAAGGACCAGTTCACATTTGCTAAGCTGATGAGGCGGGTTCTCCCCCAGTCTGAGCCAGTAGTGCTTTTGTGTTCCTAAACCTGCACCTCCCATCGTGTGTATTTTTTGACTCTAGGCACAGCCTTCTGTTCTCTCAGATCAGTTTAACATCACCCTGCATACATTGATTGTAATATCTCGTCTCAGATCCTTTTCATTATTCCATCAAAAAATAATGGAACAGAAAGGCTAGCTCTGAAAAATAAGTCACTCAATTGCTTCTGGAATGATTTCCTGGACCACACTATTATGTATTACTGTAGGACCATATAGAAAAGTGTTCTGTCTTTTTTTTTTTTTCTGAAAGGAACAAATTGTTTAATTCTTAGCTAATAGTCAAGTTCAAGGAAGAAAGATTGGTTCATCCATTCTTCTATAATACTAGTAGACATCACATGCCTGAGACTTACATAAATCTGCAAGTTACTTAGTTTTCTGTGCTTTTCATCTGACTATATGATTAACATCCTGTTTGATTTTCACAAATATGAGAGAATGAAACAGTGTTGTAATAGGGTATAATTACAATCTATGTAACTGTGCTTTGTGTAAATCTTGTTTTTCAAGAATTCATTTCTTGAACATGCTTGTAGTTTGGAGATTATTAATATAACCTTACTGTTTGATGAAGAGGAAGTGTTTTTAAAAGCTGCTCCAAATTCTACATCTAAAGCTTAAAATGTTGTCGTTTCCATTGTTGTCCTTTGTAAAATTGTTGTTTGTCATCTAGCACATTATAATAAAAATGTACTTCAGGAGGGTGCCTAGTATTTTTATTTTTTTTTCCCCCTAAACAGAGAGTAAAAAATAGATCACTGGAGGATGTGGTTTTGCTAAATGTTGACACAAACACTCTAGAAACCCCATTTAATGACCTGAACAACCTACCTGGTGAAGTGGTGAGTCTTACAGCCATTTCATTCTTTCTTTCGCATACAGATGCTTGAATTACTAGTAGTTATTTTTGCCTGGCTTTGCTAACTGCTACAAAAGGAATAAGGGGGGGAAGAGCACCAAGTGTAGACCCCCGTATGAGATTTTTACCTTTTTGACAGTTAAGGAGATGTTGAATGGAACATCGTATTCCTTATTGTAGAAGTAGGATCATAATTATAAAGCTAGCCGTGTTCATTAGGCATAGCTGCTTTAAACGCGAGAGCCTCTTCATCTCATCTTAATCATTATATTACAAAGTAGGCATTTCTGTCTGCCTAGTGGCATGTCTTGCAAAAGAACGAGAGAGTTTTTGAAGGCAAAAAGAAGAAGGGGGCCAATTATCGGCTTCTGCTTCCCTGCCACCTGCCAGCGCTTTCCTTTTAATTAATGATCTGATGACACTGGTCAATATAATAAGAAATGCTTGTACAGTCGGGGTCAGAAGATTCAGGCTTTGATCTTCTTCAACTTTCTGAAACATTTATTTGTTTTCTCTAAATTATTTCAGTTTTATTTTAATCTCTTCTATCCTGCTGAGGGCTGCGTGAATGAAAACCTATACTGTTTGTCATTTGCTTTGGCAGAGCAAAGACTGCTTACTTAGAATTCTATTTGTAAATTAAACTGCAAACCCAGTTTGTCATAAAAGACATCTGATCCTTTTGAAATGACGAAAACTGTCTTTTGTCTGTAAAGGATGATAAATTAAGTGCCAGTTCTTTCTGGACTTTGATCTTGCAGAGGGTGTCCCCCCCGCTCCTTTTTTTTTTTTCTCTCATTGCCTATAGGGGAACATACTCTGTATATCATTTTAAATAGTCACGAAATTCACTTACCTTGTTTCTCCCAGTAGAGCTATAGAAGAATATAATTGAGAAACTGCTGTTTTGATTATTTAGTTATAGATGCTCAAGCTATCACAAGTGGTTGTCGAGACAAGGAATTTTCTATTGAAATGCGAAATCAAAGAGTTACATTTTCTGAAATTGTAAATCAGAAAACCAAACTGTCTTAAAGTGAGGCACTGTAGTGACATAGTATGTCTTTTGGTTTTGTTGGTAATTTGTATATATTTGGTAGAAAAGAAATCAAACTCTCGATGATTATATGATTGTCAGTTCCCTTTGATTTTAGTGATGTTAAAATCTGGACTTTTTATAGATTATCTGGTCAGTCTTTCTTTTGGCTCGGTATCAACTGTAATTCAGAAATGTAAAAAACTATGTAAAAATATTCTGATGTGTTGTGAGTTTTACATCAGTGTGTACCCCCCCCGTACATGTGTATACCGTAATTTCTGCTGTACTCTGTTGGTGAAGAGTGTAACAACTAAAAAATGAGTCATTTTCTGGTGTGTCAGTACTTTTAACTGACCTTGCATTTGCTGAATAAGGTTGAGGTATAATGTCATGAGGGTGTGTACCTCTTGTCAAACAATAGCTAGATGCAGAATTGAGAATTAAGCATCATCTGGAGTTGTAGCTGGGTCCTTCGAACAGTAAAAACAGGTATCTGTGCAATGAGAGAAACTTGTAAGGTATTTTCCAGATGCATGTCAAAATGATCTCTAAATGAGCAGGCTAGCATGAAGAAGACAGGGATGCATATCTTCATACTTGTAGAAAGTATGCTCTCCCCCAGGATATATGCATGCTGCTGTTATTAATGTTAATGAATGTTATCCAACTGCACAGACTCCACAGTAGACTTACTTCATTCCATATGTATTATAGAACAAAACAGAACTGAGGTTTCTGCAACATATACTTGCAGAATTGGAAGATTTTATAGTGAAGCTTTTAATTTGAATATTCCCATCTCTACTTCAATCTGTAAAGCACTTTAATTAAAACTATTTAATGGAGAACACATACAATTATAGTTGGAAAACCTGGAAACAAAAGGCACAGACAGGCATTTGTGTTTGGCTCATAAAATGATCAAATGCTTCTCCTTCTTTTGCGTTCCTGAGGGGCAGTGCAGCTGCTAATGTCTTGGTTAAAATGTGTAAGACATGGGAGTGTAAACTCCAAATGGTAAGTTGGACTTAAAACATTAAAGCAAATGTCAAAGATATTTAAATCTGTGAAGCGTTTTAACCTATGTAAATAAATCTCATAAGCGTACATAGAAAGGTAGTAAAGCTTCTGTTGAAAAACTATAACCAGTACCTCTGAAGGGTGTTAAAATAGAATGAACAACTGAAAATATAAAAGACGCTCTGGTCTTACTATCCCTTTGAAAAATTGATTCCAGGTTGTTTAACAGCCTAACAAAGAAATGCAGTATTTTCAAAGAGTTTTCTAAAACTGTTTCTTGTGTCCGAAGGAAATTGGGTAATTATTTTCTTGGTCAATAAGCACGAGGATGTCCTCACAGCATAGACATTTAATAGTTCACTTGTTTATAAGCAATATGGCTGTTAAAATGTTCCGATTGTGATTTTTTTCATGATTAATTTAAGACTGAAAAAGCATTATCATATGGCATTGTCTAATAAACTGTATGATAAATTAACTGAGATTTAAAGGCAATTTTAAATCATTCGCTTCAGCATTTAAATTATAGTTACAGGCTAGATGACTTTCTATGCACGTGAACTCTATTATTCTGTCAGACTGACCAGTGGCCTTGACTGTGCAAAGGTCAGTGGTCACAGTTGTCCTGAATTACCAGCCCTTTTTTCATGTGGACCCTCTGCTGCGTTGCATGCTGTAATCTTCTTAATGGCTTCATTCCAATATTCACACATAATATTTTAGATTTATTGACTGTTAGAAATACTACCATGCCAGTAGCAGTTCCGCTACTCCTAAGGTATTTAAAATTGGAAAAATAAATCAGTGCGAGACCTTCAGGAATCCTTTGTTTTCTTGGAGGGGGGAGAAAACCCTTCTCTTTCCTGTCTTCTGACAAAAACACTTGGTTTTGAATTTCATAATTTCACTGTGAATTTGTCTATTTTTTTTAATTTAAAAAAAAGCAAAAAACTAATAGCTGCTTCTGTGGAAGTAAATTTCCTAATACAATAATACCTAGATCATGACTTTAATAGTGTAAGAGGTTAGAGGAAAAACATTTATCGTGTATATAAATTAGTGGAGACTATAGACGAGATTTTATAAACTTTGGGCCAAATCTCACAATACCTGCTTGCAGTGGACTCTGACAAATACTTGGCTCAAATTTGGAACAATTTCAAAAAAAAAAAGCTTGGAAAACCGACGGCATCACTTTTAGCAGCCAAGCCTTGCTGACTCCATAGACCACGCAGAACTTTTAGATATAGAATCTTCAAAAAATGATATCCTTTATAGGTTTTTAGCATCTTCTGTGGTTATTAAATACCACTGACGGTAAAACCTACAGAGCTGTTGAGAGATGCGTAGCCTTGTAGCGTGTGGTGCATACACACTGCGATGCAAGCCAGAATCTAATTGGGTTTTTAGAGTTTTAGCCCTGAGATTCCCAAAGTTGCAGGACTGCAACAACATAAGTTGAGTATATGAACTTTATTGATGGAAAGGTAGCATTTGAGAGGCAGGCTATAATTCATGTAGAAAAAAAAGTTACTTTATAAAAAAGTCACAGGGAGTGCAAATTATTTCTGAAAATACAGTGATTAACAGTGTTATAAAGAAGTTATGATCCATGTCTAACAGTGCAGTTGAAAACCTTTTGCATAAAATTAAATATCATCATTTGCTATGTTTTTCCATCAGAAAATATCCAGAAGTGTTACTAATATTTTTAAGAAACTCAGAGCGGTCAGCAGTGTTTCCAGTGTCATGAGGCAACTGCTTATTTTGAACGAATTCTTAAGAGTTGAGATTCTGTTGAACCTCCATATAGTTTTAGAGGCTAGAACACGAGATTGGAAAGTACGACTAGTTTTGAAAACATTTGCATTTAAGTAGTTGTTTTTGTCTAAATTATTATTTGTGATTAAATGCAGGAGGGCTGTGTTGCCTCAATCGTTTGTGCGTGCAGTTGGTATCAAATATGTAGAAGCCTTTTCATTACCAATATTGACGTAAATCGTATCAGATCCCGTTTGGTTGGAAGGTTTTTGTTCTGTTTCTCTTCTCTGCCACGTTCTCTCGCTTTCTCACTGTTGGGATCAGGTTTGCTTTTATAATGCTGTGATTGGATGGGGAACACCAAAAAATAGTTAAAAGCATGCCCGTCACTGATACCAGAGAAATACCTGGATTGGGTTTTTTTCAGAGATCTCATAGTCGTTGGAAACCCTGGTGCATGATATTACATTTCTCAAGCAAATGGTTTTGAGTACTTCTATAGGTACTTAAATTTCTGTATGTGCTTAATTTTTGCACCAGCAAGGGCTTTGATTAATAGCTACATGATTTTACTGATTTCTTTTTTAACTTTAGGTGCAGTTCTATTCTTCTGCTCACATGCCTACTGCAGAGATACTAGTCATGTTTTCTCTCTGATCAGGCAGTTGTATTTTGGGAATCTTTAGAAGGATATAGGGGGACTATTTTGAAAAATGGCTCTTTTTGTTTTAATGACCAACACCATGTGTTTCTGCATTTTAGATGCACTTAATTACATAAGAAAGCAAAATCACACATCAATCTCAAGACTTTCCTCAATCTCTGAAAAACTACTGTATTTATCTAAACCCTTCTGAAGCTCAAGTTGCTCTTCATTGGCAGTGTTTAGCAGGGCAATGAAATCACCTTCCTACGAGAAGCCGTTGCTAGGAGAAAATAAAAACAGTTTGCTTCTAGTGTAAATTAATAATACCTTTTCTGAAACAGATCACTAGTGTCTCCCAGAAAAAAAAATTAACAGCATTCTAACCCCTCCACTTTGTTTATTTGCAGTTCTTTATTTTTAAACTTTGGAAAAGGTTATTTTTGCTTAAGGCATGCAAAGAACAGGAGAAAAAAAAGTTGGCATTTGTAATCATAGGTAGATGGATTAAAGCATATATGAGGAAAAGATGATGAAGATGCTGGTTGGTATTTTTTTTGGGCTTGGTGCCAGAACTGTCTATTTTCTTTGAAATTTTAAGAGCCATTAATGATGTCACTCACACTTCCTCGGTTTTAGGTTCATAAATCTAAGCAATTGCAGTCCTGCTGGCTCTTCTCTAGACCTACTATATTGACTCTAATAGCTATTTTATCGGTATCTTTTTTTTCATTGAACTGTGGAACTGGGAGAATTTGCTGACAACTGACCTGAATGCTCAGCTTGGCTTTGCCCAGTCCGTGGCGGTGGGATAAGCCCTGAGAATGTGCCGTCCCTCGACATGTGTGTTTGCTGACCTCAGCTTGAAGGAAACCCGGGCAGGTCTCGGGTGTGCTTCAGCCAGGATTCCAGCGGTGCCGACTGGGAAATCAGGGTTGTGGCCCACATTACCTCTTCAGAGCGCTGGGCTCCTGCTGCTTCTGCAGAATAATCTAACGGAGCTCTTCCTGCCTTTTACCGTTGCCTCCCGAGAGGTGTACAAGTCAGAGGAACTTTCTCTGGACTCCGGCGTAGCCTTTCTTAGGCTTGAACTCCCTCGGCAGTGCATCTGAATGACACGTTTTGGTGCCAGAGAGCCCACCTCTAAACTGCCCGCCCGATGGGATGTTGAATTAATTGTTTTTGAATTAATAATGTACCAATACTGCAGTGAAGCAGGAGATTTGTTACTTTGTGTGGCTCTTTTGAACACATTTTTGCCTAAAGCATCCTGTTTATCGATTTATGTTAGTGTGCGTAGGGCTTGCCAGAACTGAGAAAATCAGAAAATGCCTTTTCCTTCGCTTTGTCCTGTAATTCCTCTGCTCTACATCATCTTTACCCCCTTTCTTCTCTTACTCTGTTTTATTTTCTGCTACAACATCCCCAAACTCACAATATATAATTAAGAAGAATGTACATTTAGAAGCATGTAGAGAATTACCTTTTTGTTCCCTTATATTTAGAAGTTTTGTCCATCATGACAGATAGAACATTTTAAGGCTGATAATTCTTTTTTTTTTTTTGCCCTCATGCTACTGCCTTTGTTTGGTGACACTGAGCTAACAGTGATGGGCACATTTCCCTTATACAAAGGGTGCATACATTTATCTCCCCTGGAATTAAATAAACCATATTTTTAATAACTTTAAAATAATGATACAGTACAGAATGCACACCAAAAAAGCCAAAACAAAAACCAAACAAACAACAAAACCAAGACATGCATTTACTTTTTCAACCTTGAGCTGCGCAACTATTTTTTGTGCTTAGACTTTTTTTTTTTCTTTTGAGGTGTAGAGGAAGAAACATAAATGAGCCTTGCTGTATGCCTTCCATGGGCTAAACGAATCAGGCTCTAAACTTTTATCTAGATCTATGGAGCTTGGATATAAATTGAAAAGATCACAGCTGTGGGGAAAAGACCTATACTGTAAAGGCCTTTCTGCATAGATTATGAACATCATAACTCAATAATTTTTTTTCAAAACTATAGTTATAATTGGACCCAATGGGGGTCTCTCTCTTTGATCAGATCACAGTAACTGTGACTTTACACTGGAAAATGTCACTACTGTGAAGGTTTATCACCTGTAGAGCTGGTCTTTTCTCTGATGCCATGTTCAGTTCTCATTAGCATTATTCAAAGTTTAGTTGTTAATTAGGTTGACACTTCAATTACCATCATCATCTACAAGAGCAGTCAGGACTGCTTGCATAAAGAAACAAAAAGATAATCATTCTTGCATATATTTCTGAAAGAATGAAAGCTGTTTTGGTGCTAGTTTGTGTTTATAATGTTCTATTTAAAGAGTAACTCTCAGTGTTTTGTTGTATACTATTTAGCAATGTAAATAATGCTTTATTGGCTATATTGTAATACAAAAGGATGTAGAAACTTGCATTCAGTGTAATTGGAGTTGACTTACTTCTCTAGATGTTCTTCATGATGAAAAAATTGCGAGAGTTTAGCCTATAACTGGATGTAATTCCACATATCTTTAAAGAATACTGTAATATTTCAGTAACACATGATTTTTCTCCAAACTGTCTCCAAGTAAGAGTCATCTGAACTAAAATTTCTTTCTTTTCCTGATTCTACATAATCAGCAATTGCCACTTACCAAGTGGAAAAAAGACAGACGTCCTTAAAAAAAAAAAAGGCAAGCACTAAAATAAAAATGGTGTGGGTTTTTTTTTTAAACTACAGATGCCTCCTAAATGTTTTTCTTGTTTTCTCCTTTTCACATGTTTTGTCCTCTAGGACAATTCTAAAGGCAGCGTGGCACTGAGTTTAGACAGACTTTTCTCAGCTCTTTGATAGTCGCAGCAGCTACACTCATGGTGCCTGAAAAATTATGTAAGATAGCGATTTGAGTTTAAAAAAAAAAATGAAAATCCCTAAAATGGAATAGTAAGTGACTACTGAGAGTTCTTAAAAATAAGCCTTCATAGCATAAATAAAAAATATCCAACTGTCTGCCTTCAAAACAACTAGATACATGTTATGATTGAGGAAGAAAAACTGCAGAGAAGTGACTCACATGCATTTTACTGTAAAATAATTAAGCTTATTTATGTCAAGAGGCCTTGGGAAAAAAAAGAGAACATAAACCAATTTGCATTAGCACTCTACCATCATCCCCTGCTTTCATTTCAATTAACAGACCAGCAGGTGCTCTTTGCAGTTAAGAAGATAAGCTATCAAGGAGGAGGATGAATTTTTGGCTGACCTGTAGACACCATGGTTTGCCTGCTGATTGGGTTCGTACCTCGCTATACCAATTTCTAAGGTGTTAATTTAACTGTTCCATTCTGTCGTGCAGGTCTCGGCCTTGAAAAATAAACTGAAAAAGCAGTCTACAGCTACGGGGGATGGAGTAGCCAGGGCTTTCCTTCGGGCCCAGGCAGCACTGTTTGGATCCTACAGAGATGCACTAAGATATAAACCAGTAAGGCGGCTTCTTTACTTCTTGTTTTGCTTAATTTATAAGAGGATGATCTCATTCTATGCAAGAGAGATGTGAAATGTTTTATCCCAGTCTGAAACATTCAAAGAAAATGCTTTAAATCTTACTCTGTGCCAAGCATGCGTCGGCAGTTTAGAAGACACTACCACCTCCTGACGGCGAGTCGTACTGAAAAATAAATGCTCATCTGAAGTCAGCTCTTCTCTTCTTCGGATCGCTTTTATAATTTATTTAGCATGAAATCACATAGTATTAATGAAGCTACTTATATGCAGCTCACCTGGTTTAATATGATGAAGAACCAAAGAGACTCAGTCATTTCTCACTCTACCGGTCGCTGTATTTGAGGCCAGAAGTTTTTTGTTTCCAAGCAGAAGCCAGATACAAGTCAAACACACGTCTCTTCTAATATACACTTATTTTGATTCTACTGAGAAGTTAGGAGAAATAAAAACCCATTTAAGCCCTTCAGAACTTCAGAATATTTTTTTTCTGATGTTTTGCCAGTACTCAGCATATTAATGTATTATGGGCTTCTATCTTTTCTGGTTTGTGGCACATTTTGAGCCTGTCTGAGATGAAGTCATTTATCGGAAACAACTTACGAGATGAATTTAATTTTCCATCCAGTTTCTTTTTCAATGATATTTGCAAACTACTGATAGTTCCATTTGATAAAATGCATTGAGATGGCATTGGCTGAACCAGATTTCAAGGATGCGGTGTTTGGTCGTCTCGTGGATTCAGATAAATACTGAGATTTATAGGAGAAAATCCTCCTTGCTTGAGGCGTCAAGTTTGTAAAACCAGTGGGCGTGTGGGTAGGTGTTTGGAGGCAAGGAGGGCAGTGTGTGCTCTTGTTGGCTAAGGAACTATGTGGTATTCCTTGATGGAAAAGGAAAGGGTAGTTAGTAGTTCCAAATGAGGCCTTTTCCTGGAGGAAACATTAAAATACAGTGTGGCATGGTCTTCCTTTTACTCAAGCAATTCTCTTAAGGGTAGTCTTTTTTTGTGGTGAGCATTTTACACACAAAGCTGTCTGTGCCACTGCCGACCGTCGTTATTGAGATGAAAAGCAACCCGTGCAGAAATAAAGTAATGCTGAAGGGTTTAGTTCCAGTATTTGTGTTTAGCAGTCATTAAAGTTTTCTTACAATATGGAAAGCCAGTTTGTGTACTGCAGTGAAGTGTCTGTGCCTGTTTTTAAAATCACTGGAGTTCTACACAGTAATAATTTCACTAAAATAATTTTAACAAAACAGTTGTTGTTTGTTCCATGGTGTCATTGCCTACTATTGCTTCGGGCAGGGTTATTTGTTTTGTCCCTACGTCTGAGAAACTGCTCCTTGTTAACCCTTGGCAACATGCAGTGAGAGCTGTTAAATCAAAAAGTGCCTTAATCTACATTCGATACGTGCAAATGGAATGCTATCAGTCTGGCTGATGTCCTTACCTCAGTTCCGACCAGAAATAGGCTCCAGTCCATCCTAGGTTTTGGGAAGTTTGTTGAACTGAATGTGCAAGTTCTTTAGCATTCTGGTTAGCATCTCTCTTGGAATGAGCTCTCCTTTTCAGTGATGCACTGTGCATCATTTCAACTGGCAAACATTTGTCAAAGTGACCTTTGCAGTTTTTCTTTCTGCATTATTTTCTTTTGTGGATTTTGTTTTTTTTGGCTCCACTGATTGCATATAGAAGATACTTATGAAACCGTTGTGGCCTGATGGCTTGGGTTTTTTTAAGATACCTTATTTCACTGTATCTTAACAGGCAGAAGTGTGCTGGCAAATAGCAACTTATCTTGGATTGACATCAACTTGCCTGAAGACAAAGCATATTTAAAAAAAAAAAAGACAAAAAAAGCACTAACTGTTATTTTTTGAGCTATGTTCACATACTTCTAACTTACTTAGAATTTTACAGAATTTTTGTTGAAAAATTTATTAGAAGCTGAGTTTTCTCTGGATTAGTAGAAACTGAGGAGTTGTCCCATGATTGTTCAGCTCATTTTACACATGCCTTTTGAACTTGGTTTAATGCGTAAGTTCGGAAAATCAAGTCACGTTTAACTGTATTAGGACTGTTTGTCAGGAGTCTCAAAACTTGGGAACTGTTATTGCGAAGAAAATCCTTCCCTTTGTTCTGGAGTGTGTGGTGCTAGATCTAGTAAAGATATATATGAACGACAGCTCTGGGTTTAATTTACATCCTTTCAGGAGCTCAAGTAGTATTTGTGGAATATTTGTAGGGGGCATACTTTAATGAGGTTATTTTCTATATAGATTTGAAATACTTTTGCTGTAAATAAGCTTGTCATATTTTCGGAAGCAAGAACTGAGAGGTTTTGGGGCACCATTTTTAGGATCGCAAATGTCCTGAAGAAATCCCAGATAATGTCTTTGCATAGTTATTGATTGCTTGTAAGTTGAAAAAATATGTTTCAGTGAACTGTTTTCCTTGCAAGAGTGTGTTCTGTATGATTTTAACTTGAAATGTGAAACAACTGTCATTAATATTCACTTTGAGTAAAGAACAGCTTTAATAGTGTCTGTGCTCATCCAGCACTTCTCTTCACTCCAAAGGCTGTTCTTCACACCGAACACTCATTCTGTACAACTGTTTGTTTTCAGCAGAGGACAGATTCTCCTCGGTATAGCAATATGTCTTGAGCAAACGTCTAGCAATTATTGAAAAAAAATTATTGGTGAAAGGGAAAGTGGGAAGCTTCAGGGGTCTTGAAAAGAGTTCATGGGACTCCAAAAGACCATATGGAAAATTTGACTACTCTAATACAGACTGGAAATATGACATGGAATAGTTAAAGGTGATAGATTTTTTGGGTTTTTTTTTTAATATGTAATAAATGATAATAAAAAACTTGACCCAGTAGAAGTTTCCAAGAAAACTGGAAGTAGTTGGGTTTTTCTCCCCTGGTCTAATTGCCATACTGAATTAAAGAAATTGGTCAAGTTGTTATAACTGCCAAAAGAATTTTTGTAATATGCTGCACTTTACCGTAGCAAATATTGCATAATAGGAGTGGATCTGTAGAGCGAAACACTCCAGTTGGTGCTGAGGACCTGACATCTACACAGTGTGCATTTCTAACTTTATTGTGGTTCTTACTTTAGTCTGGTGTTGAATACTGAATGCCTGTGACTACCTGGAGCTCATTCTCCTGTTTAGTTTAATCCAGGAGGAATCCAATTCATCTACGGTAGGTTGGGGACGATTGAAAAAATTGCTTCGCTCTCATTTGATAAATGACCAGAAAGAATAATCCACAACAAAATACGACCAGCATCACGTGGGTGATTTTTAGGCGTCCTTCCTTACATCAGACAAGAGCCATGCCAGTCAAACACGTTAAAAGCTCCATGATGGCCAGGGAGAATGGGCCTCACGCATGTACTTGTGCAAACCTTGCAGGTGGAGGCAGAGACTGGCGACTTTTTTCCATTAGTGTCAGTCATGATATGAAGTAAAAATCTCTTAAAACAGGCAATATTCCTGATCGAGGTGGAGAGGGAAGGGTATATAAGAGAGTGAGGAAGGAGCAGGAGAGACAGGTGGGTGTTGCATTGGGGGACAAGTTTAGTGGGTTGGTAGTGCTGCGTCAAAGGCTGGACTTGATGATCTTCAAGGTCTCTGCCAGCTGAAACTATTCTATGATTCTATAATACTGATTATAAAAGTATTCACAATGATAGAGATTAATTTTAATATTGGCAGGAAAATAAGCAAAGCAGAAATGTTTTTGTTCCTAAGCAACAAACGGGAGGAGAAAATACAGATGTGATTTTTAATTTTTTTAAAAATAGTTATTCATCAGGGCAAGACAAATACATTTCAATTTTATTTCAAATAAACAAATCCTCTTTATGACACATCTCTTAAAAGGTTATGAAATATAAACAAAAGTAACTTTCTGCCTTCAAAAAATAGGCTTTTGTACAAGGATAACTAAAGGTGAAGTCATTGAAAAAAATCACCTCTTTAGGGGGAGAAAGTCCTCAAAGCTCTTGATGTTACAATGAAATATACCCAGGATAGCTTTGTTTTAAGATATGATGACTGTAACATCACTCATAAGAAGTTAAGAAACGAAGAGCAAAGGCTAATGGCTTGCTCTGGAATGCTCAGCAGTAGGAGTTCATGGTCTCATCAGCGTGCCAGCGCTACCAAGATAACGTCCAGCTTGAAGATAGCACAACCTGTCAGACCTCACTTTAATTGAGTGCAAACTAGAGGCTTTGGGCCAACCTCAGCAATATTTTTAAGTAGTGACTTTGGCTCTCCAGCAGATGCAGGTGTTGTATTCAATATGCAATGAATCAAAATAACGTTACATTGCGGGGAAAGAAAGGTATTTTAAGATTCAGAATGCACCTGCATTACTTGAGAATGCATAAGTATTGATTGCTTGAGTTGCAAAATGAAGCCTTTTGAGGACAGGTATCTTGAAATGGACATTGGCTTGGTTGCCTTTTCCCCAAGGGTTAGACATTAGAAGTGTACAAGAGAGTACAGAAACAGAATAAAGAAGTGCCAGAACATAGTTTGTATTTAAATCCAGAACCACTCTGTTATGACTATTTAGTGTCACTTCCGTAAGAGTTTTACTTTACATGTTGCAACTTTGTTGTTTAATTTGACTTAAGGTCAATGGTAGTCCTTTACTGAATATTATAGATGTTGTATTAATAGGACTTGATGTAGGGTTTATTTCTGAGTATAAGAAGTATGAGCACATCTGAATCTTTCTTGAACTAGATTGCAGGAAACTTGCAAATTTTGCAGAAATCAGTTTGTAATTTTAAATGGCACCGTCCTGAGTAGAATCATAGGGCATAAGGTCATAATTATCCCCTGGCCTTTCTGGATGTTCAAAATGTCATGACACCAGATGAAATCTCAGCTTTGTACTTCTTTGGTTTTAGAGGAATTTTAATGTCAAATCCAAAGTGGTGTTTGTGTTTTGTTTTGTTTTGTTTTAAAAATAAGTGATACAAAACTGAAGCAGCTATGGCCCTACCTACCTACCTTATACTCTTTGTATAATAAGTGAGAGCTACCATATGAAATGGTATTATAACAGTAGTACAAATAGTTGATATGAGTCATGTCATCCTAGAGCTATAGGAATGAAAATGTTTGTACTTCTTGTTCAAGTTAAATATCACTATATTTACAAAGCACAAACATATCTTCTAATCTAGATTATTTTTCCTTTCAAAACGATCGCGCTGTTTTAGCTCACTCTTTTCAAGTTCCATTGAGGCCTGTATAAATAGCTTGCTTAAAATGTAAATGTAGCTTGGAGTAAGAGGCTCCTGCTGTGTGTGGCAAGATATGAAAGGGGAAGAAAATTCTGTAGCGACTGTTGTTAAAAGGACAGATACCTTGTTTGGGCGTAGGTTGTTTGGTCTGAGTATTAGCTGTCTACTTTTCAGTATAGAGTCCCCACTGGGTTTTGATCGAACTTGTTTTGAAAGTACATTGTAGATCAATATGACAAGGGGCCATTTGATGGTCTAGTAGTTAAATATCAGAGGAGCATTCCTCCAAAATTCAGTTTCTAAATGTACCCAGTTGTATTTGCAGAGTGTTGTGAGCTTTATGTATGAAAAATTCTCGAGCTATTTTTTTGTTATCAGTTCAATAACTTATTTTTTAAACAGCACTTCAAAACACTTTGTATTTACGGTAATAACCTTGACGATTTGTAACAGTTTTATTCAGAACACAATATTGTTGTTCAGAGCCTTGAACAAATGAAAGAGCTAGGAGTTAATTGTATTATTTAATGCAAGTTCTGTAAAGTTACAGCAGATACCTGAGAAAACTTCAGTGTGGAATTTCTCTAGGTTTCAACAGATTTTGTGCTGAACAGGTGGGAGCTTTAAATCTACTCGAATTTTTAAAGCAGCCTTTCATCAGTAGGTTCAAATAACATAGACGGCTTTTGGGTGTGAACTCTTCATAGATCTGAATGTATTTTCAGCTAAGGAATAGCTTTGGTTCTTCTGTCTCCGAACTTTGCTGATAAGGGAACAAACGCACCAGCGCATGAGTGCTCACTAAGTATCTGAAGCATCCAGTGATTAAAGGGAAGTATTTGGGAAAACATTACACTCAAAATGGGTGCTGAACTGCCGTTTCGGGGCGTTCTGTTACAGGAGAGATGCTGTCAAGCCAAACGTCTGACTGCTCTCTCCCCAGGCTGATGCGAAAGGCAGAGTGAGCATGCCTCTTGTCTCCTCTGCTCAGACATGACCTCTCCTTTTTCTCTTTCATCTTTCCCAAGACAGCTGGGAAAGTGGTAGTGAAGGCGTAGCTTAGTTTTTATTTTTCCAAATAGTGTATTTTGAAAATACTATTTTCCCTCCTTGGTGCTAAATGTAATATGTCACAGGATGTCTTGAGCCATCATCTAGTCAGGGCTTCATTCTGAGAAAACCTCTGTATTTCCAGAAATAATTTCTTCGTGTAACAACAACAACAACAACCATATATATATAAGGAGTTGTTATAATTTGCTGTCTTGAATTTTTTTGGAAGACAGAACTGAGAAGCGAGTCTGCCCTCGGGAACACTACGCCTTGTACCACCATGTCTCACTGGAGACTGTTCCATTTGTTTTGATGCACTTTGAATTTGCTAAGTAGCTTGGGGTCATCTTTTTAAGACAAGAGTCTTTAGAAGCTCACGAATAACTAATGCAAATCGGGTCAGGAAGGCAGTACTATTTAAAGTACCACAAACATTTCCAACTATTTGGCAAATCTAGCACGTCCTGCATGTGCACGGTGTTCACCAGCTCTCTCGGAGTAACTAGTAGATGGAGTGGCTTGAGTGCCTCTTCCAGAGACAGTGCTACGTGTTGTACTGATTTGGGTTTACACGTCACGGCGTTCCGTGAAAAGGGAAGGATTATGTTGAGTAAATGTATAGCTTCTAGCTCTTCCAGTAAGATTTTTCTGAAATCGAAGGTTCCGTAAAGTAAGGATGTGAAACTTAAAAACAAGTTAAGTGTGAACTTAAGCGCTTTGCTGAGTAGGATTGGATGTCTTTAAAGAGAGATTTAAAAAGAGGGAAATGTTGGATAGTAGAAGATTTTAAAATGACATCACTGCGTTTTTACTGCACCATTTCCTCAGATCGTCCTTGAACTGTTTAAAAACAAAGTGCAAGGTGTAAAGAGCAGGTGAAAATGATGTAGAGCTCCTCCACCAAACTCCCCTAGGTGACGTGCAGAAGACGCTCGATGTTATTCTGGAAGCACGTGACTGCACAGTCAGCTGGAATGATAGGAAAATGCATGAAGTGGCATGTGTGGTTACGTCACGGGCACGAATAAATTTGTATTTGAAGTAGCTAATAGTTGGAGCTGTTAGGAAGATCAACTGTCTCTCATCTTTTTTCTTGGATGGCTGAGGTGTCCTTTATTATACTGTGGGACTGCACCATGCATAGAACTTTTGGGTAGTAAAATACTCTATGGTAAATTTAGCTGTGGCAATTTGTTGGAGTCCAATTTTTCTGTCTTTGACACCTTTGATAATTGTTTCTAACCTGGTAATTATTATGGTTTTGTGAACTTAGGTGAGAGGCCTTTTGGCTTTGATGATAATCACTACACAAAGTTTGTAAGGTACCTCTTACTTATCTGGTCGTACTGAACAGCTTCAAGAATTTATCACAAAGTATTGACTAGAATAACAGAATTGGAGAGAGTGCTCATCAGAAATGTCCAATGGCCTGTGAACCCTGAAGATGGCAATTTTGAAATGAAATTGGGGAATAAAATAGGAGTCAATTGGATTATTTATAAATAATCTGATCATCTTTTATTTTTAAATGAGTGCTAGTTTTAGCAATAATTTTTTGAGCAAACACTGCATTTTCAGTGAATATTTGTTTTCTTTCATCATCACTTAAAAGTGTTTTGATACAAGGTTTTTGGTAACTGTAGGTTATGCGGTTTTCCCATATTGGGGAGAGGGTATTACATGTGAATCTCGTCTCTTCAGACTTTCTTCATAACAATGTTCCAAAAAGTCTGTAGGTTTTCTTTTGTGTAAAAATAAAATAGATGTGCATTTCAATAATTTCCTTTTAAATCAACACTATATTGATCAGTCTTCTAATGTTTTGGTATAATAAATATAAGAATTTGGTGCAGATACATGGGTTTGGACTGAATTAGAGTTTTGGTTTACTAGTCCTGCTGATATAGCATGGCAGGGAATCAGAGTAATCCTGAACAATAAAGCGTGTTAAATCAGTCAAAGCAGCATCCCTGCTCTTCCTCAAAATTTGAACTACGTCCTTGACATTTTTAATGAAGAGACTATAAAGGTATAATGAAACAAACGCAAACCACCTGACTTTTTCCTTTCAATGTGTATTCTGTAGACTGTAGTAAGCCAGAGGTTCAATTGCAACATGTATTTTGAGGAGTATTTAAATGTTGTATGACAATTTGAGACTTTTGGTGGTGTTGTCTACATCCATTTACTTGGATGGATGTTTGTGAAGATTGCTTGAAAGGAAGTAATTGTATGTGTTGAGTATTCGTAAATAAACAAATCAATTTGCAGTGGATAATTTTAAATAAATCAACCTGTCTCTCTGCTTTAATTACAATCTAACTTCTGTTTAAATTTTCTAGGGGGAGCCTATAACTTTCTGTGAGAATAGTTTTGTGAAGCATCGTTCCAGTACTACTAAGCAGTTCCTGGAAACTGCTGTTAATCTTCAACTATTCAAGCAGGTACGAGAGGGTAAATGACCCATGCCACTACTTTTAAAAAATGTTTAAATGCATTTTCCTTTCTGTCAGCTTATGTAACTCTGGGTTAAAATACAAGTACTTTTGTGTGCAGACAGCCATCCCGGTTTTGTTATATTTTTAAATCTTCAGTTATACTTAAAAGGGGGGGGGGGGGGGGGGGG